TGAGGTCAGAACATTTATGGAATCATCGATAGTAAGGTTCAATGTCCGTGCGCGATCAAGTAAATCCTCATACAGGGAAGACTCGGACGATCGGCCAACATTTGAGTCGGGGGTATTGGACTGAAAGGAATCAACCGCACTATGGAATTGCTCTAGTTCGCGTGTCTCCCTGTCTTCGAATGCGAGTTCTCGCATGGTGTGTAAAATCATGCCCCACGCGAATGCGGCCGGATTGGCAGTTTTACATTCAAGTCCTTCAGAGAGGAACATTTCATGGATTTGGCCGAGCTCCTCCTTGCCCATGAAATAAGGAGTTTTGGACGATTCGGGGTTCTTGCCCTTCGTGAATGTCCTGTTCATGAGCGAAGGAATCGACGACTGGACCTTAAGAAGTGCTATAGTAGTTAGAGAGACGAAGCCCTGAAGAGGCACCAACACTTCCAAGGGATCCTGGCATGGCTTCAGCTAGTCAGTACATGTCCAATTTCTGAGGCGCACAAACAGAAACTCACAATGACAAGTGGCTCTAAAAAGCTATACTCAACCATCAGCTTGAGCCAAGAGAGCACGAGCTTGGCGGATGGAATCTCCGTGGAGGCCTGGAGTTGATAAAATAATATCTGCACGATATGAAGGATTTCCTCAACGAGAGTTGTCGTCCGCAAGTCTTCCACTTGCTGGCTACTCTCCGTGACGCTTAGCCACCCGCCATCTTCCGCCAGAGACGTCAGTCGACTGCGGACAGCTTCAATACAGCTTTCACTGAATGCATGCCAGTTTCCTCCTTTGAATTTGTCTTCGAAGATCTTGGCGCCTAATCGGCACAAATCGCTTTGCTGTGTGGTGCCAACTTCGATCTTGCTGAGATGGAAAAAGCCTAGAAGTTTGCGAGATGTCTTGATAACGTGGCTTCGTTCGGAGAGATAGAGATTACGCAGCCGCAAGCGCCTGCTTTTCTCGGAAAGAAAGTCGGCAGAATCATCATTCACCAGGATTTTGCGATTGAGAATTTCCGCCAGAGCAGGCCCTGCGAGGGACGCGCGCAGGTTATCGGCCCCTGTTGCACTTTGCAGACTTGTTGTTTCCTCCCCGGCGAAGCGAGTCAAGAGGCGTGTAGCAGGTCGGTGTTGCCATTCCAACACAGTGATCCGAAGCGCGCTGATTTCGTCGATACCAGCTTTCTCACTCAGCCAGAGAGCGTCCGCTTTGATCTCCTTGATGTCGTACGACGACTGCGCACTAGTCTCGGCATGAATGGCTGCTGTTTTAGACTCGAAGTCCGTCTTAGATTTCGCCGATGGGGAAGGGAACCCGTTCAAGCAGTTCGAGAGGATCTGGATGCTGTCGGAATGCGATAGGAAGGCATGTAATTGCTCCGCATCGTCATCTATGCTGGCGTGATTGCATGTGTATAGGAAGGCTTGCTTCCAGGACCTAAACGCGCAGACAGAATTAGTATCTACTATCATATCAGATATATTCAATATTAAAGGCTCGTACAGAAGCTGAACGTCCCCGGAGAAGCACTTGTCCAGGGACGGGAAGAAGGCTTCCGGGAGGGGAGCCATTGGCGGGACAACTATATCATTATAGGATCCAAGCAAGCAATGAAAAGAAAAGACGCCGTCCGACCGAGCCAATGGAGAAAGACACGGGGATAGACAGAGCAGCTGGGAGCTGGAGGGACGAACACAGAGCTCAACAGCTCACGGCGGGAATCTCCAGAATATTCAACCCGAACGGAGTCTAGCCTGCAAGGTCAACAATGATTGCCTATCTGGGTCTAGTACAGGGCGGTGAGAGGGATTTTTGCAACGACTGATTTGATTTTGCATGGTTTGAATCCACTACTCCTAAACGGGACAAGCAGCCCGATCCACCCACTCCCGCCGCCGCCGGCGGCGGCGGCATTTGTTGGACTGACTGAGTCAATGGAGGGGATGTGCGATTGCTTGCGGTTACACAACAACTCACTTCTTTCGCAACACTGCTCGGAGGGTTTCGTCAATTCTGGGAGGTGAGTTGGTCCTAGATCTCTTTCTACGCTCACTTCCTCTGCGTTATCTTCTTCATTTGGTCCTCAGTCATTCTAATCTGTCTCTTGCTCTCTGAGTTTAGATATATCAAACATGGCGAGCTCCGATCTCGTTGACCATTCCCCCCACCATCCTACCCAGGCTGCCCAACTCACCAGTGCGTCGAATGTCATCCTTATCGATAACTATGACTCGTTCACTTGGAACGTCTATCAGTACTTGGTCCTCGAAGGTGCATCTGTGAATGTCTACCGTAATGATCAAGTCACTCTCGAGGAACTGATCGCCAAAAACCCGACGCAACTCGTGATTAGCCCGGGCCCTGGCCACCCCGAGACCGATGCCGGCATAAGTATCGCTGCGATCAAGCACTTCGGCGGCAAGATCCCCATTTTCGGAGTGTGCATGGGACAGCAATGTATGATCACTTGCTTTGGAGGAAAGGTCGACGTTACCGGCGAGATTTTGCATGGCAAGACATCCCCTCTGAAGCACGATGGCAAAGGCTGCTACGAAGGTTTGCCTGCTAAGCTCGATGTCACCCGGTACCACTCTCTGGCTGGAACTCATTCGACTGTTCCTGACTGCCTGGAGGTCTCCTCTTACGTGCATCTGGCCAATGACAATGCTAACGACAAAACCATTATCATGGGCGTGCGACACAAACAATTCGCGATCGAGGGTGTTCAGTTCCACCCTGAAAGTATTCTTACGGAGAATGGACGGACTATGTTCAGAAATTTCCTGAAGCTCACGGCAGGCACCTGGGAAGGAAACGGGAAGCACTTCCACGAGCACAAGACTCTGGTTTCCTCTGCCCCCTCGACTGCCGCCCCGAAGACCGATAAGAAGAAGTCTATCCTTGACAAGATTTATGACCACCGCAAAGCTGCCGTGGCTGTACAGAAGACTATCCCTTCGCAGCGGCCGACAGACTTGCAAGCTGCTTACGACCTCAACCTTGCCCCCCCTCAGATCTCCTTCCCCGACCGCCTCAGAAAATCCCCTTATCATCTGTCCCTCATGGCTGAGATCAAGCGGGCTTCTCCTTCTAAAGGCATGATTGCTGAGCATGCATGTGCGCCAGCCCAGGCTCGGCAATATGCGAAGGCTGGAGCCAGTGTCATTTCCGTCCTTACTGAGCCTGAATGGTTCAAGGGCAGCATTAATGACCTGCGCGCTGTTCGTCAAAGCCTCGAAGGCTTCACCAACAGGCCTGCGATCCTTCGCAAAGAATTTGTCTTTGACGAATACCAGATTTTGGAAGCGCGGTTGGCTGGTGCTGATACAGTGCTGCTCATTGTGAAGATGCTCAGTACCGAGCTTCTTACAAGACTGTATAAATATTCCTGCAGTCTCGGAATGGAACCACTGGTTGAAGTCAACAACCCAGAGGAGATGAAGATTGCTGTTGATTTGGGAGCGCAGGTCATTGGTGTCAACAACCGTGACCTGACTAGCTTTGAGGTCGATCTCGGAACCACAAGCCGCCTGATGGACCAGGTTCCTTCCAGTACCATCGTTTGCGCGCTGAGTGGCATTTCTGGACCTAAAGATGTGGAAGCTTATAAGAAAGACGGCGTCAAAGCGATTCTGGTCGGTGAGGCTTTGATGCGCGCGGCGGACACGTCTGCTTTCGTTGCAGAATTGCTCGGTGGCAGTGATAAGAGTGTTGGGACTAAGATCCAGAGCTCTCCACTTGTAAAGATCTGTGGCACGCGATCTGAGGAAGCGGCAAAGGCCGCCATCGAGGCTGGCGCCGATCTCATCGGCATTATCATGGTACAAGGAAGGAAACGACTTGTTCCGGATGATGTTGCATTGCGGATCTCACGGGTTGTCAAGACCACACCTAAGCCCGCCAGCCAGTCCATCCAAACACCCGACGCAGCAGCTGTGGACTACTTTGATCACTCTGCTTCGATTCTGCGTCATCCTAGCCGGGCTCTGCTCGTGGGTGTATTCCAAAACCAGCCATTAGAGTACATCTTGTCTCAGCAACAGAAGCTTGAACTTGATGTAGTTCAATTGCATGGTTCTGAGCCTCTCGAGTGGGCGAGGTCGATTCCCGTTCCTGTCATTCGCAAATTTGGTCTCGACGAGCCCGCAATTGCCCGGAGATCTTACCACACGTTGCCCCTACTAGACTCTGGAGCTGGAGGATCTGGTGAGCTCTTGGATCAATCACGTGTCGAGCGAGTTTTGGAGAGCGACAGCGGCCTACGTGTCATTCTTGCTGGAGGTCTGGATCCTACGAATGTCGTTGAGACGATCCAAAGGCTCGGCAAGTCCAGCGCTAAGGTGGTGGGCGTGGACGTCAGCTCTGGCGTCGAGTCAGACGGCGCACAGGATCTGGAGAAGATCCGCGCCTTTGTTAAGGCTGTTAAGGGTCTTCATGCATGATTTAGTGTCTATTTTTTGCAGTAAATCATACCATGAGTTGATTCATTTGGTCACACCAAATGGATTCTTACTTCCGGGTCAATTCCATTCGTATAGTCTCAGGAATAGGATACCAGTGGTGCTCTGGTCATGATTAAATATTCTCACATAGCTGTCACCTCATAATCACATATTTTCAAATCACTTTGCCTTCTGCCACTATCTTCCCGTCACATGGAACGGAAAAGAGATGCCTCCGCATAGAGGTAAACATACGTGCTTACCCTTACTCCATACCCAAATTAGTGGCTCGTCCATTTTCTTTACACCTGCACATATCACCATCTTGTGAGACCTGTCTCAATATTCAGGCCCTGACAATATTCTCTCTCAACTCTCAACCACCTCATTATAGTCTGATGGTCGAACTTGGGGCCGACGCTATCAAACGGCTTTTACACAATCTGGATTTATCTCTATCATCCCACTTCAGCAGCTTACTACGTAGTGGATATCCTGGTGAATGTTTCTTCTTCCTCGTCGTTCTCCCCATTCACCCTTTGTTCTCTGCTTTCCCATCACCAGAGAGCCAATATAACTTTCTCTGCTACTATCCTTCATATTCCTAGTTCTGGTACACCGAACCCTCCCCTCCCAACTCCCTCCACCCGCTCCATACCAAACGACCAAAAGCCATGGGCAAGACATTCCAAAAGATCCACGCCTGCTCGGCAGGCAAATTCCCCAAAGACGGAGACAAAATCCCGCAATGGATTCGCGCCAATGGAGGAGAATACTATTCGACTATCACCCCGCAAGTAACTCATCTCATCACGACTCTCGAGGCGTATAAGAAAAACATCACGCCAGGTATAGCACACCTTCCTCCCCTCCTACTCAGAAAACGACGGTTGTCTCTGACTTTGTCCAGTCTGCAAAGCCAAGGCGCTGAAAAACATCAAGATCGTGACGTTCGACTGGCTGGAGGATTCATTGCTCGCCAAGGACAAAAAGCCAAAACGGGTGACTGAATACCTCCTCGAAACGGTAGTGAAGGAGGAAGAAAAACGGAAGAAGAAACCTGCTCGAGGGGCTTCTCGGGCCACAAAGTCGGTGGGTGCTGCAGGCACAGCGAGGAAGGCTGGTGCTGCGAAGAAGCCCGCAGGTATGCCCTCATTCCCTCTTGCGAGTCATCTTGTTCCAAAAGCCTCTAATGGTGAGAGTAGGGAGAATCAAGAATCCAGACCCGTTTGGAAAGGCCACTGCCAAATTCAAGGCTGGAACCGCTGCGGGTAGGTGGAATATATATCATCAGGCGATGAGAGATGCTATGGTCGATGCCTATTACTAGGGTACTGACGGTGGACTGGGAACACAGCCAAGTATTGCATCTACGTGGGCGAGAAAACTGGGATCAAGTATGATATCCCTCTGGTGCGGGTTATGTCCTCGAGAAGGTCGAGGGAGAAGATCCGCCTCAAGGTCAGTCTATCTACGAATCTTCAGTCGTTATACAGCTGTGAACCTCGTGGGCAAAGAAGCTGAGAAAGTATCATCCTGCTTTAGGTATACGAATCAAAGGCCGAACCACACGTTTACGCTACGCACATGGAGTACAGTCGAACTGGGGCGTTTCGTGCCCAGATTTTGACACCTCTGGGAACTAGTCTGAAGACGGCCATGGATGCATTTGAGGCAAAGTTCAAGAGTAAGACAGGGATAGCCTGGGCTGATAGGTCGAATGGGGTTGCGCCGCCTCCGAAGGTGGACAAGGAAGGCAATCCGCTTCCTGCGTATGAGGGATGGTATTTCTTCGAAGACGGCCAGAGCATATTATCCCAGTACTTGCAGTCTTCTAATGCTGTCGAAGATCAGGGGCGTGAATTCGAAACAGCTGGTGGGGCCATTTTGGATTGATGGAAGAAATGCATTGCTCTGGGCGCTGGAAATCGAGCAGAAGCAGGCATTGACCTTAGCCTGGATACCACTCGTGGGCTTACCCCCGGCTTGGACAACTCAGTTCTAGGTGATCGTGAGATGCAACGGGAAAAGCGGTGCGCTGGGCTTAAATTGCAGAATGGGTGATCATTTCGGAATTGCCCTACGAAAGGCACCCATGTATATATATATTGCAGGATCCCCACCAGAGGGCGCGAGCAGTGAGCGCTTTACACTGGGCCAAGAAAAACGAAGATGAAGATGATTTATGTTCTTTCAGATGGGTATACAAATAGCGACGTAAAATGCCAACGGTGCGAACATATGACCAGGAAGCTCCTTCTAACACCTCTTGCGCCAAATCAAACTTTTCCTGTAGCCTTCCGCGCTTGACAGCGAAATGCCAGCTGACCGATCCTCTTGTTCACAGATAATCCTTCTTCTTGCTGGTTCTCGTGTATTGCGTGAGTGCCCATTCCACATCACCACTCGATCCCTTCTCCAGGGAGCCTCCACGGATCTCGAACAACCTCATGGTCATGCGAGGGCCAACCTCCGCCAGCTCCACATCCCGATATCCGGTCTTGACGAAGACGTGGTGTCGCACCTCAATACTGTCCTCCTTGTTCACAAAGCTGACGACCCGATTGCCAACCTTGCCATCCTCGCGGGGCGGGAAAAGGTGCTTCAGGATTTGCACCACACGGAGACCCAGCTTGGTTGTGAACCCCTCGAAGACGAGATGGGGGTAGCTCTCGGAGACGGTTCCGCGAGCCGCGTCGGGAATATCGGCACGGAGAACGACATTGTGAAGGGAGAAGCTGGCCGTGGGACCGTGCGGCAGGTGGGAGATGGTCATCGCCGTAGGCGTACCACGGTGTTCGTGCAGGAGGATCATGTCGGTCAGCGCCGCGGCGGTTGCGCTCGAGACGAGATCGGGCAGGACGAGATTACCACGGTTCAGACGGATCGCGGTGGGAAGGAGCAGACGAACTTCTTTGGCGAAGGTCCCGAGGCGGACAGAGGGGCTTCGAGAAGTTGTGACAATAGGGCGAGGGTCGGCGATACCCGAGGTGAGCGCATATTCGTCGTCCAAGTCCACCTTATCGGCGTCCTTGTCTGCACTGGGTAGCGACTCATCGTATTTGAAGTCTTCGCGCAGGGCTTTGTCATTGGCGATGGAGGGGTCGAGGGGTTTGCCGGAGGCCAGCGACGCTTTAAGTTGAGCTCGCTTTTCGGCGATAGAGGCATCGCGGAGGGTTAGAGCTCTCCGATAGAGATAATCTCGTCGCTCTCGGGCTTGACGGCGCTGAAAATGATATACGTCAGTATGCTAAATATGAGGTCGCAAGTAGATCAGCGGCTCGAGAAAGAGCACAAACGTACCAACATCTTGAGTGTCCAGCCTGTATTGGGGTTCTGATATAAAGATCGGATAAGTTATCGAATGCGGCATGCCGCCCATCTTTTTTTCTTCCCTAAACTGCCGCTCTGGTCCGCCTTGGCCACCGGACTGTGGAATTTGGCGGCAAACAATCGCCGATAACTTGATCGAGCCCGATCGCATACCACCCGCCACTTAGTCCTCCGGTTGACAACGTTACGCCTGGTCTAAGAGGGCAAGCCGATACACTTCCCTGTCAAGTAAACTCAGTGGCGGCAGGAACTCGCTGTGACTGAAGGTTTGACTCCCCTGTGCTATGCGCAAGTGAATTCCGCTTCGCAAAGGCCACTCCACTGCACTTGTTCTCACTTCCCTCTCCGTTGCCCCTCTACCGTGGCACACTGACAAGTTGGGTAACAAGATTATTAAGAACAAGCTAACTCGCGGACTTCTGTAGTGCCACAGACGACGGGCTTGTCCGCTGCACTCATCAAATACCTACGACTAGCCGTTCTTGTATCATCTTCCGATCTGCGGCGGCCGAGGTATCTTTTGCTTCTTATACCTTCGCTATCCTGCGCTCACACACATATCACTGCGTCTACGACCTCTGTCAACGTATCTTAACACCGAACGCCAGCTATGGCTGCACCGGTCGATGAGAGGATTGCTGCAGACCTCGATGAGTCTCATCAATTCCGTCCTCGGAGACATGATGACGACGACGAAGGTTCCGATCACCTAGGAGATGATGACGTTGAAAGCACCGCCAGTGTTACTGCCGCGGAGCGTAAGAATAATGAAGGACACTTGGATGAGGAGAAAGAGCTTCCACCGCATGCTTGCTCGTATGTATCTTAAGACTGCCGCTCATAGCTCACCTCTTTGCTAACATGGAACTTGCAGTTATTGCGGTATTCACAATCCGAGTAGCGTCGTGAAGTGCCTGGCCTGCAGCAAATGGTTCTGCAGTGCTCGTGGTAATACATCATCTTCTCATATTGTCAATCATCTCGTTCGAGCTCGTCACAAGGAGGTCCAATTACACCCTGCCTCGTCGCTCGGTGATACCATCCTCGAGTGTTACAACTGCGGCACCAAGAATGTTTTCCTCCTCGGTTTCATTCCGGCCAAGTCCGACACAGTTGTTGTCTTGCTGTGCCGTCAGCCATGTGCTGCCATGCCTTCCTCCAAGGATATGAACTGGGATACTTCGCGGTGGCAGCCGTTGATCGAAGATCGCTCGTTTCTTCCCTGGCTTGTGGCTGCTCCCTCCGACCAGGAGCAGCTTCGCGCCCGCCACCTTAGCCCGCAATTGATCGCTAAATTGGAAGAGATGTGGAAGGAAAACTCCCAGGCGACCTTCTCAGATCTGGAAAAGGCCACAGCCGTAGACGACGAGCCTGCACCCGTTCTGCTGCGTTATGACGATGCTTTCCAATATCAGAATATCTTCGGACCGCTAGTCAAAATCGAAGCAGACTACGACCGGAAACTGAAGGAGTCTCAGTCTCAGGATGGATTGATTGTGCGCTGGGACCTCGGTCTTAACAACAAACACCTAGCCAGTTTTATCTTGCCCAAACTCGAACTCGGTGATGTGAAATTGGCTGTAGGTGATGAGATGCGCTTGAAATATAGCGGTGAATTGCGTCCGAAGTGGGAAGGTGTTGGATATGTCATCAAAATCCCGAACAACCAGTCTGATGAAGTGACTATCGAACTGCGGGCTAAGGGTGACCACAAGTCGGTGCCTACCGAATGCACGCACAACTTTACGGCTGACTATGTTTGGAAGTCTACCTCCTTTGATCGCATGCAGCTCGCTATGAAGACTTTTGCTGTCGACGAGATGAGTGTTTCTGGTTATATCTTCCACCGTCTCCTTGGACACGAAGTTGCCGCTGCGCCCATGAAGACCCAGATGCCCAAGAAGTTCAGTGTTCCTGGACTTCCTGAGCTCAACAACAGCCAGATTAATGCAGTCAAATCCGTGCTTCAGAGGCCTTTGAGTCTTATTCAAGGACCGCCCGGAACGGGTAAAACTGTCACCTCGGCTACAATTATCTATCACCTCGCCAAAATCAACGGTGGTCAAGTTCTGGTTTGTGCACCCTCGAACGTTGCTGTTGATCAGTTGTGTGAACGTATCCACAGAACTGGTCTCAAGACGGTCCGTGTGACTGCAAAGTCGCGAGAGGATGTTGAATCTCCTGTCGGTTTCCTTTCTCTGCACGAGCAGGTTCGCATCAACGACAGCAACATTGAACTTATCAAGCTCAATCAATTGAAGGCTGAGCTCGGCGAATTGTCCAGTCAGGACGAAAAGCGACTCAAACAGCTCACCCGTTCCGCAGAACGAGAGATCCTCAACAATGCAGATGTTATCTGCTGTACCTGTGTCGGTGCTGGAGATCCTCGTCTTTCCAAACTCAAGTTCCGCACTGTGTTGATTGACGAATCGACTCAGTCTGCTGAGCCTGAGTGTATGATTCCTCTGGTCTTGGGCTGCAAGCAAGTCGTCCTTGTTGGTGACCATCAACAGCTGGGTCCTGTCATCATGAACAAGAAGGCTGCCAAGGCTGGCCTGAACCAATCGCTCTTTGAGCGCCTTGTTATCCTGGGATGCTCCCCTATTCGCTTGAATGTTCAATACCGCATGCACCCATGTCTTTCCGAGTTCCCCTCGAATATGTTTTACGAAGGTTCTTTGCAGAACGGTATCTCTCCTTTGGACCGTCTCCGCCGTGATGTCGACTTCCCTTGGCCCATCCTTGATAACCCTATGATGTTCTGGTCAAACCTGGGTAACGAAGAAATTTCGGCCTCCGGTACTTCCTATCTCAACCGCACTGAAGCGACCAACGTCGAGAAGATTGTCACTCGTTTCTTCAAGGCCGGAGTGCAGCCCCAGGATATTGGTATTATCACTCCTTACGAAGGTCAGCGTAGCTACATCGTCAGCTCCATGCAGGCCACTGGTACATTCAAGAAAGAGAACTACAAGGAAATTGAGGTCGCATCCGTCGACGCTTTCCAGGGTCGTGAGAAGGATTTCATCATCCTTTCGTGTGTTCGTTCCAATGACCACCAGGGCATCGGTTTCTTGAGCGACCCCCGCCGTCTCAACGTCGCGCTCACTCGTGCAAAGTACGGACTGGTGATTCTGGGCAATCCCAAGGTCCTGTCGAAGCATCCTTTGTGGAACTGCCTCTTGCAACACTTCAAGGAGCGGCATTGTCTTGTTGAGGGACCCTTGTCCAACCTGCAGGAATCCCTCATCCAATTCAGCCGCCCGAAGCAGGCATATCGTGGACCTCAGCGATTTCAAATGGCGTTCAATCATGCCTCCAACGTGACTAGTGGATTGATGACAGGGAAGAATGGTCACCGCAACGAATTCCATGATACTGGATCCGTTGTAGGATACATTCCCGATGATGTTTCTTCTGTCCATTCATCCGCCCTTGGTGGTGTGAGCATTCCTTCCGGCTACCCTCCTATGTTCCAGAACTTTGCCGACTCGTGGCCGGCCCTCCCAGGCGGTCGCCGAGCCAATGGAAACCGGATGAAGGGTGCCCCTAGTATTGCTGGGGAGTCTATCGCAGCCACCGAGTCTGATGTTACGGGCAGCATCATTGACGGGAAGAGCGCTGACCAAGGGGGTGTCAGCCTTGCTGGTTTGAGCATCAACGACATGACCAAGCAGCCCAGTCTCAGTCAATCTGACCGTCTGAAGCGTTATGTGGAGTCTGGAGGACGTGAGCCTTACAAGCCTGGTGTTCCCGACAACGGCAGCATCTTTGGGGGCAGCTCGACTAGCATTCGTGTCACT